GGAGCGTCTGAGAGTCGACAACCAGCTACTGAGACAGGAGGTATGTCTGTTTCATGGATGCTGTTTGGTGATGATTGTTGTTTTAGGAAAAGTAACAAGAGGTTCATGCAGCATTTAAAGGATGTTATGTTCAGATTAGGAGGCATCCAGGAGCTTCTTGGCTCCGTTGGAAAGAAACGGAGAACAAAAACATTCACTGCAGTCATTAAAGGCAGTGTTTCCCAGCCTATTTTGACTTGTGTTCCCCTTTGGGTATTTTCTTTTACCATAAATTCTCATCTCACTCAGAAGTATTGATGATTGTCCAAACGTTTAACAATAACTGATTATAAAATAAAAAATGTTTTACTTATTTTTTGAACTTGAGCATTAAATTCTTAGGCATTTTATTTAATCTTACAAAAAAAACCCAACATAAATATGTTGCCTGAAAGTCAATAACTATGTAGGGGCAGTGCTAGCCATGCTAACTATGTAGGGGCAGTGCTACCCATGCTAACTATGTAGGGGCAGTAATAGCCATGCTAACTATGTAGGGGCAGTGATAGCCATGCTACCTATGTAGGGGCATTGATCGCCATGCTAACTCTGTAGGGTTATTGATAACTATGCTAACTCTGTAGGGGCAGTGATAGCCATGCTAACTATGTAGGGGCAGTACTAGCCATGCTAACTATGTAGGGGCAGCGATAGCCATGCTAACTCTGTAGGGGCAATAATAGCCATGCTAACTCTGTAGGGGCAGTGATAGCCATGCTAACTATGTAGGGGCAGTGATAGCCATGCTAACTATGTAGGGGCAGTGATAGCCATGCTAACTCTATAGGTAGGGGCAGTGCTAGCCATGCTAACTATGTAGGGGCAGTAATAGCCATGCTAACTATGTAGGGGCAGTGCTAGCCATGCTAACTATGTAGGGGCAGTTCTAGCCATGCTAACTATGTAGGGGCAGTGATAGCCATGCTAACTATGTAGGGGCAGTGCTAGCCATGCTAACTATGTAGGAGCAGTGCTAGCCATGCTAACTATGTAGGGGCAGTGATAGCCATGCTAACTATGTAGGGGCAGTGCTAGCAATGCTAACTATGTAGGGGCAGTGCTAGCCATGCTAACTATGTAGGGGCAGTTCTAGCCATGCTAACTATGTAGAGGCAGTGATTTTTGTTTTTCTGAAAATCAAAAATTGATTTTATTTATTTATTTTTTTTGAAGAGTTTTTTTTTTGTTATTACAAAACTTAGAAAGTTACAGTTCACGTTTGCAGGAAGGGGAAACAAAGACAAAGAAAATTAAATAAAAATACATAAAAGACCATTTTCAACATCAACAATTAAAGAACATAGCCAGAGTAACAAAAAATAAGTGTCAGTAACATTAATTATAAAATCAGAGTAGATAAATGTTTTAAACATTTTGAGGCTGATTTACCCTTTAATCCAGAAATACAGATTATATAATTTTTTAAGTCAACTTTAAAAACACAGAAAAGAGGTTTGTTCTTCATAAATTTTGACTTATGAATGAAGAATTTACCAAGTAAAATAAATAGATTGACTACATATTGTATAGAGGGGTTTGAGTCAGAAAAATAAAATAATTTGTGAAAACTGGATAAAAGTATGTTTGAGCCAAAGTGACCATTAATAAATCATTGCATATCATTCCACAGAGAAGAGCTATGTGAACAGCTATAAAATAAATTCTCTTTTTTTATTTCCAAAGAGCAAAAGGAGCATTTTTCATCTACAGTGGGGATGAATTGTGAAATAAGGTTATTACAGCGGTATAATGGTGAAGGATTTTAAATGTTATTCCTTTCACTTTGTTTGTAATTAAAAATGTATGTGGGTTACTCCAGGCTCTATTCCAGTTAATGTTTTCATACAGGGGGGGGCATTTGTACCTGGAAGCAGGGATAGAGTTTGCACATAGAAGGTTTTTAATAACTTTGTTGTTGACTTTTCTGTCTAGAAAAGATAAACAATTTATTGAAATATTGCTGGAGACAAGAACATTCCTTTGATCTAACTCTTTCTCATCTCTAAGTAGTGTGATGATCTCATGGGGTATGGCTCTGGTTATAACGTCAAATTATTTTCTTGGAGGATAGAAGTTAAATTTATGAGTGAAGTCGTCATATGTTAGAATTTGTTTTGAGTTATTCAACAGTTGGGCTTCCAGAACAATACCATGTTTAAACCAGTTTTGTATAAAGAGAGTCTTGTTTCTATGTAAGATATGCATATTGTTCCAGATAAAACATTTATGAGGGGAGAAATTGTGTTTTTATAAAAGCGACCAGCAAGTTAGAGCCTGTTTATGGAAGTCTGACAGCTTGATTGGCAGTCTGTTGATGGAGTACGGGCACTGAAGCAAGAATGTGATATTACAGAGTTTTTCAAAGATGAAGTTTGGAACAATGTTCCACAGACTGTTTGGATTTTTCAGAAATCTTTTAAACCAGTTGATTTTTAATATCTCATTAAAAAGAGAGAAGTCGATTACAAATAAACCCCCTTCCTCAATTTTATTAGTCAATATGTTTTTTCTGATTTTATGGGGCTTCTTCCTCCATATAGCTTGTCTAGATTAGCACAGTGAACTTCAGATATTTCTATAGATGTAAGTAAATATGCTGCTTGTGAGAGACCTTCTGCTTTAGAAAGCAGAACCCTGCCAAATGTAGATAAATCTCTTGTAAGCCAAGAATCAAATTTTTTATTAATAGAGCTGTACAGTAAAGAAAGATTACTCTCTGTCATTAATTTGTGATTATGACTGATTTTTACTCCAAGATAGGTTACTAAGTTCTTTATATTTATCCCGCAAATTTGACCCGAGTGCTTATTTTTAAGAGAAAACAGCTCACATTTTGATAGATTGAGATTCAAGCCTGAGCTTTTTGAGAAATTGTTCACAACCTTTAGTGCATCTTCTATTTGTGATTCATTTTTTTAGAAACAAGGTTGTGTCGTCAGCCAGCTGTGATATCTTTATTTCTCTTTCATTTAGTGTTAATTCCTTTGAATGGACTCTTATGAATTAGGTTACATAGAATTTGAGCTACAATTAAAAATAGAAGAGGCGATGTGGGGCAGCCTTGGCGGATACCTTCTTTATATAAAATCTAGGAGAGGTCTAGAAAGTCTTTGTAGTCTATTAGATCCAGCACTAAGTGAATGTTATTGGCTATGTGACGCTTTTTCATGAAACCAGATTGGGGCAGTGATAGCCATGCTAACTATGTAGGGGCAGTGATAGCCATGCTAACTCTGTAGGGGCAGTGATAACAATGCTAACTCTGTAGGGGCAGTGATAACCATGCTAACTATGTAGGGGCAGTGATAACCATGCTAACTCTGTAGGGGCAGTGATAGCCATGCTAACACTGTAGGGGAAGTGATAACAATGCTAACTCTGTAGGGGCAGTGATAACCATGCTAACTATGTAGGGGCAGTGATAACCATGCTAACTCTGTAGGGGCAGTGATAACCATGCTAACTATGTAGGGGCAGTGACAGCCATGCTAACTATGTAGGGGCAGTGATAACCATGCTAACTATGTAGGGGCAGTGACAGCCATGCTAACTCTGTAGGGGCAGTGATAACAATGCTAACTCTGTAGGGGCAGTGATAACCATGCTAACTATGTAGGGGCAGTGATAACCATGCTAACTCTGTAGGGGCAGTGATAGCCATGCTAACTCTGTAGGGGCAGTGATAGCAATGCCAACTATGTAGGGGCATGCATACCCTAATATATTAATTAGGCTATGTATGCTTACCCAAAAGATAAATAAATCCATATTTAGTTTTGATTCTGTTCATGGTTGAGATTCCTGCTTCACGGCAGCAGGTTAAGGAGTGATCATAGCGCTCTGCATCAGCAGCGTTGCGTCTGTCTCCCTGCCAGCTCCCAGATCAGCTTCTCTGATTGGTTGATATGGCGCATCCAGCAGGAAAAGTTAAATTTTTCCAACTCCAACAGCTGCTGCTTCTGAAGTTATGCGCTGCTCCTGCGGCTCAAAACGCACTGCGGGACCTTTTGCTGCACCTTGATACGCGTCAACCATTGACTGTAAACTAGCTACCATTGCTGCTCCTGCTGCGTGCGGTCTGAACGTAGCATTAAAGACAGTTTTTTTTTTTTTATTAATATACATGGTATCACTCTGTGCTTGTACCTGTAGTTACTTTAACCTATTGTTAGGTTATTTCTGTGTCATCATTTGATGTTTTTGTTTACAGGTGGAAGACTGGAAATCCAAGAATCAGATCCTGAGGAACCTTTTGCGACAGCATGGCATTGTCGGATCATCAAGCTCAGATCCTCAGTGAAGTCCGTTACCAGCGCCGTGTTTGAAGACGACTACAGATGGGCCATAGGAGTACTTGAAATACTTCTATATATGTACCTTTTCATTGAGCATGCACAAAATAAGTCCGTTAATGGAAAACTGTTTTGAATATTTTCACCCTTTGTTGAAATCCTACAGATTGTTTTAAAAGTTCTTCATTTAGGCAAAATACCCAACAACTTGTACATTATTTGAATTGTTGGGCCTGCAGAAACTGATTTTTATTTTTTTATTAATATTGGATGCCTTTTATCATGTATGATTGTCCATTAATCTCCAGTACATTAAGCTCTGAATCATACCTGGTAATATTCAGCCCTAAGCTCTGTTGTATTGATATGAACTGCTCTCGTAATAATGACTCCAGACAATTCAATCATTTTATTTGTGTTTTATCACTGTAACTTTGACCAGTTGATACCAAGTTTATAATCCAGACCCTAGTCTGGCTTTACTTTGTGTCTGTTGTTGAGGACTGTAGTTGCATTGTAATGATGCCCTTACAAAGTCAAGAAGAAATGGGTCAGGGGTTTTAAGTATTAAAGGAAAACGCTGTCTTTATAATTAAATTGTAAATGAAAAACCATGTCTATGTAGTCGTGTATTTTTGATGAACAGTAAATTATTTTACTTTGAAGGGTCCATCCGGAAGTGATTTTTCTCTGTGACGGTTTGACTGCTTTAAACAAGCCTGCAGATTGTTCTCTTTTATCCGCTAGAATCTGCATTTAAAGCCGAACCAGAACCACCGGATCTGCATCCATGATCTGCATCCTGCTCGTAGCCGGACACGGCACCGTTTTAGAGACGCAGATTAAGGTAAACAGCAGCTTTGGTTTCTTGCAAAACTAGCAGTACAAACTTCACTTCCGTCACCAGACAGCGGTGTTGAACTCCATTAGAGAAATCATCTTTTAATCACCACCGTGATCCGTGGGTCCTGTCGGGATCTGTAGATCAATGCATTTTGTTACCCACATGTTCGTGATGTTATATTGGGCCGTTTGGCTCTCAGAGATTTTTAAATTTGTCAAGTTTCACAGAAATAGACTCTTTTGCAGGTCCCTGTCAGGGCTGCCCTGTCCTGTAGACTGCTCTTCCGATGTTAGCGTAGAAGATCATCAAAATCCAGAGTTTCCGTTGAATAAATGTGTTTTTATTACCTTTCAATCATGCCGAATTCCCGTATACAATATCATATTAAAAAATTGCAGCTGTAAATATGTTATAAATCAGTTACTTTACCAAGAAATACCGCTAATCTAAAATGGGCGAATCGCTTAATGAGGTCTGGCATGGTGACAGCACAGCGTCCTGTGTGAGAGGAGTCCTTCTTCTATTTAAATTAAGCTAATAGACGCGATACGCGATTGAGAAAAATCACAACTTGGATAATAAAAATTTAAACTTGATTGTTGAAACAGTTTTTTCTGCAATGTTTCAAACTAAACCACTTTGGTTTGGACCTTGAAACGGTCTGAACTTTTCTAAGTTCTTACCATCTGCTAAAGAAAAGGCTTTTTCCGTAAGTTTATAAAAACTCAGAAGTGTTGCCGATGTTTTATTGCGCTGATGTGCCACACGGTCACATTTCAGCTTTAAGATGAGCCACTCCACCCAGTGGCGGTTCTAGAGCAGATGTACCAGGGGGCCACGAGGGGACCAGAGTGTTTTCATTGAGGCACAGAGAAGCATGAAATAATAATAATAATAATAATAATAAAAATGAAGGCAAGGGATTCCAATATCTTATGATAGCTGGATGAAGTGAAAGTTCTATTCAATTAGGTTTAATTAAAATTCTAAGTCTTAGGTTATTTTACATTTATAGTTTAGGAATTTTATGCATTTTTGACTTAATTTAAGTTTTTTAATTAGTTTTGGAAAAAAACAAAACATTTAGCAGATGAAAACTGGGATCCTGTCTCAATACCACTGAAGTTATCACCTTATTATTTTTAAATAATTAGTAAAACAAATTTTGTAAAGAAAAAGACATAGCACATATCATCATTAGAATTTCTTTGAGTGCTATGTCTTTAGTGCAGGGGCCATAACAGGGGCCAGGACGCGCTCTACAGGGGCACTGGCCCCCGTTGGCCCCTGTCTAGAACCGCCCGTGAACCTCCTCAGGGGACCAAAATGCTCAAAGCAGCCAGGTGAGATCCAGACATGAACCCACAGTGGAAACGGGTAGAGACAGCTTTTATAGGCCGTGGAGATACAGAATATAACAGGAATAAATAGAATCACTGCAGGAAGAGCTGTGATCTTATTAACAGCTGCAGATGAAATGTCAAGTAGTGAAATAAATCTTAGCAGTTAGGACATTTTGATGTGGAACTGAATCACAGTTTTAAAGAGAATCAAATAATTGAAAATAAAGAAGTATCTATTTATCTATCTAGTAATGTCTCATCAGTTGTGCCACAGCAGCAAACTCTACACTGGACAAAATCTAGACGAGTCATTTTTTTCTTAAAATAAGTGCATTTGCCCTTGGATTAAGGTAGTAAAAGAGACATCTTGCCAATGGAACTAGGCAATTTACACTTAGAATAAGATAACAGAATAGCATTGTTTAATTTCAAGTGCATATTATCTAATTATCTTATTTAACAGAGCAAAAATACTAATTCCGTTGGCAAACTATCTCATTTACCTACTCAAATTAAGGGGAAATACACTTAATTTAAGACATTTTTACTTATTTCTAGATCGTTTTTCCAGTGTAATACTCTAATATCATGCACTTGAAATAAGACAATGCAATTGTGTTTTCTAGTTTTAAATGTAAATTGTCTTGTTCCATTGGCAAAATGTCTCTTTTAACTCCTCAATTCAAGAACAAATGCACTTATTTTATGAAAAAAAAAGACTTTTTGGGCTTTTTTTTTTTTTTTAGCTTTTTTCAGTGTACCGTAGTTTTTTTCTCTTTTATGTATATATATATATATATATATATATATATATATATATATATATATATATATATATATATATATATATATATATAATTAAACAGCTGGGATGAATAAATGCTTTTAACTCTGAAATTACTGTTTTGTGCCAATTGGAAATGATTAAACTAGTTATTCTGAAAATTAGAGATTCAAATTTCTTCAAAGAGAAAAAATAAAATGAGTTTTAAAAAGTGACTCAGGGATTTTTTTTCTTCTTCTTAGTTGATCTAAAAGAAATCAATTTTCCATTTTTGGTACAAACTGAAGCTCCTAAGAAGAAACGATTCCAGTCTTTTACCAGGAGATGTTCTGGTCAAACCCTTAAAACTGGAGCTTAATCCCAGTAAAGCAGGAGCAAAGCGCTTTAACAGCATCTGCTGGTCTGCTGTAGGAGTTCAGATTAAAAACATTTAGTCCGTCTCTATTAGGTTTTAATTCAGCCCGCCTGTCGATGAGCTCTTTGGTGGAATTTCTGCTCGGATACTTTCTGCTTTTGTTCTGCATCTGGCCGCTTTTTCAGATGTTTCATCTGTATTTAGACGTCCCAGTTTGTCTGGACGAGATTTTTCTATTATTGCGAATAAAGAACACATTTTGTAAATAAAGAAATAAGAAAATGCAACACATAAATTAAGGTGAAAAATGTCTTGATCAAAATAAGGATTTGAGAGAAACTTTGCTTGTTTCTCAGTTCTTTTTTAAATAATTTTTTAAATAATTTATTATTACTCTTCACCTCTGGATTGAGTAGCAAAGGCGCATTTCTGTTGGTCTCTGAAGAGGTTAGCCTCATATTTTTATTGGTCTAATGCAGACGTTGGTATGGGGCTCCAATCAAGCTGAAAAATTAAATCTGAAAATAATAATAATTATTATTACTTAATAACTTAATTAATAATAAGTGTATGGATCTAACAATGGATAGTTTTACCTCTACATTTAATCCATCCCCTTGGGGAGCAGTGGGCTGCCATTGTGCGGCGCCCGGGGAGCAGTGTGGGGTCTGTGCTCAGGAACCCAGAGCGGAGGCTGTGGGGATCGAGCCAGATACTTGCAACCTTCTGAGAGCACAGGCGCACTGCTCTAACCACTAGGCCATCACTCCATAAAAAATAAAAATAAAAAAAATCTACAAAAAGAAATTTTAAAAATTTAGTTTGAAAATAATGTGAAAAAAAATATTATTTTAATAATAAATCCATAAAACTTAATAAACCTAAAACAATGGTAGAAAATTCACTCCATAGATTTAATTAAACAGATCTTTCAGATTGAAATAATTTGGCTAATTCTAAGCGTCAGCTGATTTTCAGCTCATCCTTTAAAGCGGAGGTCTTCAACAGGGGTCCCCTAGGGGGTCCACTGAGGTACTGCAGGGGGGGTCGCAAAAGTTTTGGTTGATTAGACTTTTTTTTTATATTCCCCCCTGCAGTTTTTTCCACTTATTAAAATGTCTTTAAATCCACATTAAAATGAATTCAACACACTTTCAGTCATCAATGCTCACATTCAGAGACACACAGGAGCTCTTTCAAGCTGGACACAGTTTCATTCACAACACCTGTCCCATCAACCAGGAATCAGAAATACTTTAATAATCCCAGGGAGGGATTACTTTAGTTACATTACTCCATCTGTAATAGAGTGACTATAAGACCAGTTTCATGCAATTTATATAATTAGGGGGTCTCCTCTCCATCTCGCCATCAGTTTGGGGTCCTTGGCCTGGAAAACGTTGAAGACCCCTGATCTAAAAACAATGCAACCATTTTTGGCATTAACTTAATCACATTTAGTTACTTTAACACAATTGTTTTATGTCCTATGCTGCTAACATGAAACAACTGTGTTAAAGTAACTAAATATGATTAAGTAAATGCCAGAAAATGGTTGTATTTTATTTTCAGTCCAGGAGTTTTTTTGGGTGAATGCAAACCACAGGCTGAGCATTATTGGGCGGGAAGCAGCCAGGATCAAAGCTCTGAGGGTCTGTGTTTGTTGGAACAGAACGATGAGACGGGTTTATACGGCCATCTGACCGGCGTACCAAAAGCTTTGCTTCCTGGGATCGGAGGAAAGAAGATCCTTGACTTCTGGTGGGAAACTGTCAACGTGTAAGTTTGACGGGACCAAACGTGTTCAGTGTCGCCGTTCAGTACCTGCTGGTTCAGCTTCTGCTTTCTTCTCTCCAGGCGGCAGCTCTTCACTGAGGTCTACCTGGTCACCAACGCAGACAAGTGAGTTTTAGGACCGAGGCGCTGTGAGGTTGGACCTCTGATCTGCAGCTGGAACGGTTGAATGTCTTTGTGATCAGGTATAAGTACTACGAGCGCTGGGCCACAGCCAACGACTTCCCGGTGGAGAACGTGGTGAACGATGGCAGCACCACCCTGAGGGACCAGCTGGGGGCCGTGGCCGACCTGGAGCTGGTCATACGGAGTCGGAAGCTGCAGGATGATGTTGTTGTGGTGAGGGGCGCCTGTCAGTATTCCATCAGGTCTGTGTTCTGCCCTGCAGCCTGTTCTCAGCCTTTTTATCTCTGTGTGAGCAGATCGCTGGAGACATGCTGTGTGCCGACCAGAACTTTGACATCTCACAGGTCATCAACTTCTTCAGGTCTAAGGTGAAAACACTGAATCTTCTCTAAATCAGAGATTGATCCTAAAATGAACCAACAAGGCAGTCCTTTAGTGTTGGTAGCAGAGAGGCTCGGACTGGGAACGATTTGTGGATTAACACATTTTGGATCCACAAACACATTGTGGATTAACCGATCTATCTCCAAGCATCACACAACAACCATCACCAAGACTTCTATAATGCGGTTTTACTGGCTTTGGTTATTAACACGGACGCCACAGTGACTGCTGCTGCCGAGTAACGTCCACACTCACCACCAGTGTTGGGAAAGTTCTCTTTCTACGTGAACTAGTTCAAAGTTCAGTTCACACATTTTAAAATGAACTAGTTCAGTTCATAGTTCATAATTCAAAATGTTGAACTAAGTTCACAGTTCCAAAAAATGAACTAGTTCATAGTTCTTTTTTTTTTTTTTTCATGTATTGCTCAATTACACCATAGCCTACTGTAGAACCACAGACAGCAATTATTTTATCAGTTGTAACACTGAAACTGTGTGTCAGATTTCATCTTCAGATCCAGTTTTGAATCCTTATCCAACCAGGGTTTACATTAGCATTGAGGGGACAGCTTTTCCCCATTGTTGCTTTAACGCTTTGTTGCTGTCCATTCACTTCACACTAGTAGCAGCTGCAGCTTTCACCCCTACAGTATATTCTCAAAAACATCAGGAAAAATGTGCTGCTTGAATGGTCTTTTTTATGAGGAATTATTAAAAGAAAAACAGGAAAGTAGTCTTTAAGGAGCAAATGTTTTTTTTATTTTTTTTTTTTATATTTTTTCCCATTTGAAATCCCATTTCAGTACATACTAAAAAGGAATACTGGAATCCCGGAAAATTATATCAGGCAGGTTTAAGTGTGTATTTTTTTACTGAAAGCCGGCGGGCAAAGTTTGCAGAGAAATGTAAGATTGTTGCCATCATCCTCACCGACCACCTGGTCATAAACCTGTTTTAAGTGATCATACTGCTGCTTTGTCGCCTCCACGGTCGCCTCCATGCTGCTGTGGCTTCCACGCTGCATTTTGTTTTGATGACGCAGGCGGCTGTAGGCTACGACACTGGTAGCTGGTGTTGCCAGATTGGGTGTTTTTCCCGCTACATATTACTAAGAGATTACCAACCTATCCACTATAAGAGCCTTTAGGTCCCCTTTAAGGACCTGTTTTGGGACCTGCAACTTAAAATGCTCCACAATTTGCAGCAATTCACACTTGCGGCAGCTATCTATAAGCTCAAGAGAAGGGTCGGCTAAAAAGCGCTCCAGACTGAATGGAACTGACATGGTTCCTGGATACAGCCAACTCAAAATGTCCCCCTTAAATCTGGAAAAAGGGATCCTAAGAGGATCCTGGACAAGCCCCCAATTATGTTACGCCCCCAAGGTCTAGGGGTCTTGGGGAAGCAACATAAATAATGTCTGGAGTAGTTTGGGGGAAGTTAAAAATTATTTATTACAAAAAAAGATGGTTAAACAGCCCCAAAACACAATATAGCTTAACTCAGTTAAAACAAAACAACAAAAAAGGTAAGGGCAAACAAATACTGAGAGAGCGTGCCGTTCACAGACACCAGAATGAACGGGTTCACAATAACGTTCATCAGGCAGTAATGCAGTACGTTCAGTTCACGTTCGCCCAAAATATGAACGAGTTCATGAACTTTCGTTCAATGAACGCGTTCAGGCACAACACTGCTTACCACATCAGCAGGGTTGCCTCTTCAAAGTTCTGCAAACATAAAGCAGAACTTTGAACGGGCCGGAAACCAGTCAGGCAGCAGACTGAGTCATAGCCGCTGAAGGTGGTTCTTAACTCTGCTGCCGCTGTTTAAACTTCTGCTGTTTGTTTTTAACGCCATTCATGGCTTTGCCCCCTCTTACTTGTCTGAGATTTTAACTTTCCGCAATTGTGGCAGAGCTTTACGCTCCTCGGGTCAGCTTCTGCTAGACGTCCCTAGGTCAAGACTTAAACAGTGGGGCGATCGTTCTTTTGCCGTCGCTGCTCCCAGACTGTGGAACAAACTACCCCCTGACATCCGCACCACTACTGACCGCAGCCTTTTTTTAAAAAAGCTTAAAACCCACTTTTTCAATTTAGCTTTTAATCCTGACTATAATACTGTCTCTTTCTGTGTGCTCCTTTCTATGCACCTCTGGAAGGCTTTTAATGTCCTGCAGCGCTGCACCACTACAGCACTTTTAATTGTATCTTGTATGTTTTTATATGTGTTATGTATTGTTTTTATGGCTTTGTTGTAAAGCACTTTGGGTACCATTTGGCTATTGTAAAGGGCTATACAAATAAATCTGATTTGATTTGATTTAGACTGACGGACCGTCCAAAGCTTTGCTAAATGTGTTCCAGCAGTGGAGCTCAACCCACTGCTCTGTTTAGCTTCAACCGTTAGTTTAATCTAACCTCAAACAATACGTTCAGAAAGAAGAGCTCCTAAAGCCTCCATCAGGTCTGTCTGTGGATAGTCTGGACATGAACACAGATCCACGTTTTGTGTTGCAGCCTGGAGAGTTGATCATCTACTACGAGCTGGAGGACGGAGAGAGGAGTAGCTCCAGGGGGATTGTGGAGGTCTGTCCTGAGACCCACAGGTCAGGATGGTTCTACAGAGACGCTTCTACAGATTCCGGTTCTGCTTTTAACCCATTCCTCTCTGAACCAGGATAACTCGCTTCCTGGAGAAACCAGAGGAAGGGCGAACGGCGTCCCGGCTGGCCAGCGTGGTTTTCTACTGCATCCGGAAAGAAACGCTGGCCTACATGCCCGAGTACCTCAGGCTGCAGCCCGGGGCCGCAGAGAGGACCTTCGGACTGTTCTGGGTTGGTTCCTGTTCATCCACGGTTCTGTTATTACTTCCTGTTTAAAGGTGCAGCTTTGGGATGTCAGCTGTTAGAAACCGCGGCCATGTTGTTCTCTCACACCCTCAGCTAAGTCAAATCATCTTTGAAGAACGTTGGGCACCTTAGAAATGTCTTCAGCTTTTGCTTTTTGTCCCTTTTGAATATTTTAGATCAAACATTTATTATCAGACCGTTTTTAAACCATGATTTCAGTTTTTAAGGAGAAAAGCTTCCCAAACTTTCTCTGTTTAAAAAAGCCATGGCCCTGTTCTTACAGCAGGAATGTTTTCTGGTGACCAATTTAAACTCGGTTCTCCTCACTCAGCATGAAGTAGGCCAGCAGATTAAAAAAGTCCCACATTGTGCCGACTTCTAAGGAGACCAGAGGCTGATGGGAAACGGTAACCTTCCCAGTCGCTCCACCAGCAGGCCGTCGAGAAGCCAGAACCGAATCCACTGCAGAACTCGCTGCACTCTGGGTCAGACAAACTAAACCGCTGCCGACCCAAAAGAACTTCAAGGTCACTTTTCCCACCAAGCATCTAAATAATCCCCCAAAACGTCTGTGATAAAACTGTTAAAGGAAAAGTCCGGTCAGAAAGGAAAGATCAATGGATCATTATTTATACCTAAAACTAATACGTGTGCGGTGATTTAATGAATTTAGTGTTAATCAGTGAAAAAATAAAAATAATCATTTTCGTCGCAATCACCGAGTCTGGGAGCGGCCATTTTTGCCCTAATATAGTAGCCCCTCCCTCCTGCCATCTTCCAGCAGTGACGTCACGGTGCGGTAAGCCTAGCGCCATTCTCCCCGCTTTACAAGCTAAATCAATGGGAACTACTAGACACATCTGCAATCAACAACAATTATTGAAGATTTCCAGAGGACTTCACCACTGAAATTCACCAGAGCTATAGTGAAACTGACAATGCCCACGTGCATGGCAGCTGGATTGTGGAATCGGGTAAAAGTAAAAAAAAAAGAGTTATTCCACCTTTCCGGTTCCTGATCCTCCACGGACGGGTTGGTCGTTGGATCGCCAACTTGAAGAGGGAGGATTTGCCATCGAACTTCTGGCCAGAGAAAAAACCCGTAATATGTAGCCAACATTTGGAAGAAGAATGTTTTCAAGATGACTTGGATAATAGCGCGTTGTGACAAGCACCAGATACAGCACTGGGACTTGATCAACAGCCGATACCGCACCGTGACGTCACTAACCAGTAGGTGGCAGTAGTGTTCTTTGACAAACATGGATGCCTCCAGTAAAGCACATTAACATGAAAATTACTCTGAATTAAAAACACTGATCATTTATTGAACAGGATCTAATAATTTCATATTTAAAGGACTTTAAGAAGTCTGTGTTCTGAATATGAGTGGACTTGCCCACTGAACTGGGGCCCCTAAATGGCCCCCAATGTAGGACTCAAAACGCTTAATATGCCAATAAAATCTGACATCGACCAGAAACTTCAGGAATGAACATTAAACAAACCTTTTCAGTTCATCCAACCAGTTCAGGTTTAATGTTTAAGGGGCAGGTTGGAAAAAAAGATCCAAACATCAAGTTTCTAATTGGAGAAAAGTTGGAATCGGTCTCCGCCAGTCACGTGACTTTTGTTGCTAAGGCGCCATTTTAGGTGGAAAAGGCGTAGTGTAAACAACCGCAGCATAGCTAAACGAAGGACTAAAGGCCCGTTTACATAGCAGCCTGTCCAAGATAAGTCATTACAGTTAACATAAGCCTGAAAACAGGGGCGGATTTAGGAAAATCGGTCTCCGCCAGTCACGTGACGTTTGTTGCTAAGACGCCATTTTAGGTGGAAAAGGCGTAGTGTACCGCGCCCGAGGTAAACAATTGACGTCACTTGGCGGAGACCGATTATGGCCCTCAGGTCTGATGGAGGCCTGCTGCTCACCGCCTCTTTAAGCTCAAACTCTGGCTTCTGTCCTTGTTCGGTTCGGGTCGTTTGCTTCCTGCTACATCAGGTTATGATTCATTTCACGCTTCATGCAGGCTGATGATAAAGAAGCAGACATGAAGGAAACGGGCCTTTCCTCTGCACCGATCAATGAGCTTTCCTCCGTTAGCTCATCAGCCCATAGCGCTGACCAGAGGTAGATAATCCAGGTCCGGGAAGTAGAACCCTGCACAGTTCTCCTTCCTCCTGCTCTATTAACCAGCTGATTGGCTGCCAGGTTTTGTCCTGGAGCTGGAAGTTATCACCGTAATGGCGTTTTACTTTGCGGTTTTACTTTGCGGTTACTTTGCGAAAGCGGATAGGCGCCAGAAACTCAGGGTCAATCTAGTCTGTTCCAACAGGAAAATTAACGAGCAAAACATCCATATTTTCTAAATAAATAAAAAAAAAAACTATACTTTCCTACAGCATTTGCTAACAAATAGAAGCACATATTTAAACATCCGTGCTTTCTAGATAAACGTATAGTGAATCAACTTCTTTCAGGTTTGAGTTCTGGGGCGAACATCTTTTCCATCGTCATTACCTCCCTACTTTTATCAACAATTATTCTCCATAAAATTGATATTTACAAGTACTAATATCTACACAAACTAAAGATTTTAAATATTTATCTATGATTTCACTAAAGACTCCTAGATGACTTGCAGAGACACATCATTTTCTCTTTATCCCTTATAATACACAATCTTGTTCTGAAAAGAGCATTAATTGATGTGTTTAATTAACCAGTGTTTTTGTTGTCAATTAATTGTTAATATATGAAAAATTCAAATGTCTTAAATATTCCACTGCATTATATTACTGCTGTATTAGAGGGAAAAATTGGTAGGGGTGGCTACAAGGGTGGCAAATGATTGGCTAAGGGTGGCCACAGCCACCCCTGGCCCCCCATCAAGCTGGCCCCTGGTTCTGACCATGTTTGACCAGATGTGTGAGGTCAGGAGGAGGTTCTACCAAGTTGACCCGTTCCACCTTTGTTCCCTCTGATCCTCAGGAGTGGCTCATCAATGAGAAGCAGCTCCATGTCTTCGGGATGAAGCTTCCCACTGGCTTCCAGCTCATTGGACAAGTGGTTTGTATCTCAGCCTGGGGTCAAAGTTCAACAGGTCCAACGGGGCTTTAGAACCGGACCTGCAACCCGTGGCTATAAAGAACCAGAACATAAACCTGACAATATGATGCAGGTTCAGAGCATTTTTTAAATTGGTGCAAGAGAATCAGCCTGAAGGTTGCAGTGATGATGTCATAGTTCAGATGCAGCGACGGCCGTTTGCTGGCTGGTCACCGTATTCACAGCTTCAACATTAGTGACCGATACGTTTGGGAGAAAATCTCATTATTTTATGAAAAGATAAATGGAAAAATATCTGGTTGAGAGCTTAGATAGTGGCTGATCTTTTTTTGAGCAGGAAAATAAGAGATTTCCCAGTAGAATAAGACGCACTGGACGCACACAATAAGATGGAAATAAGATAAAAATAAAGTCTTTTCTTTTAAAGTAAATCCTCTTATTTATTTGGTAAATTCCAAAAAAGTAATAAAAAAAAAATCCACCTGACTTTGTTTCCAAGTTTGAAGACGTTTCTCTTCCCATCCAGGAAGCGTTTTAGATTCAAAATGTCAGAAATAGTGTTGAGTTCAAGGCTTTATAGAGCGGACCAAAACAAAGCCTTGCTTTGGCTTAGAAAACATGCAAATTGAACCAGACCAACGGGTCCGCCCCTTTGGGATGGGCCATCATTTGGCTTATTTTGTTAGCCTTTAATACCTCATACCTGTCTATGTCTCTGAAAGGGGGGTTGTTAAAGGGAATTGTTTGCCTAGCTGAATAGGCGAGGTCTTCTGTTTCCCTGTAGGGGTTGCGATGGGGTTGCCATGGTAGCGGGAATCGCTGTATTGTAGGTTTTTGAAAGTTGAAATCTTTGTCCATCCCCTCAGTTTAAGGCTCGATTTTCTCTCTTAACATACACTCACCGGCCACTTTATTAGGTACCCCATGCTAGTAACGGGTTGGACCCCCTTTTGCCTTCAGAACTGCCTCAATTCTTCGTGGCATAGATTCAACAAGGTGCTGGAAGCATTCCTCAGGGAGTTTGGTCCATATTGACATGATGGCATCACACAGTTGCCGCAGATTTGTCGGCTGCACATCCATGATGCGAATCTCCCGTTCCACCACATCCCAAAGATGCTCTATTGGATTGAGATCTGGTGACTGTGGAGGCCATTTGAGTACAGTGAACTCATTGTCATGTTCAAGAAACCAGTCTGAGATGATTCCAGCTTTATGACATGGCGCATTATCCTCCTGAAAGTAGCCATCAGAAGTTGGGTACATTGTGGTCATAAAAGGATGGACATGGTCAGCAACAATACTCAGGTAGGCTGTGGCGTTGCAACGATGCTCAATTGGTACCAAGGGGCCCAAAGAGTGCCAAGAAAATATTCCCCACACCATGACACCACCACCACCAGCCTGAACCGTTGATACAAGGCAGGATGGATCCATGCTTTCATGTTGTAGACGCCAAATTCTGACCCTACCATCCGAATGTTGCAGCAGAAATCGAGACTCATCAGACCAGGCAACGTTTTTCCAATCTTCTATTGTCCAATTTCCATGAGCTTGTTCAAATTGTAGCCTTAGTTTCCTGTTCTTAGCTGAAAGGAGTGGCACCCGGTGTGGTCTTCTGCTGCTGTAGCCCATCTGCCTCAAAGTTCGACGTACTGTGCGTTCAGAGATGCTCTTCTGCCCACCTTGGTTGTAACGGGTGGTTATTTGAGTCACTGTTGCCCTTCTATCAGCTCCAACCAGTCTGGCCATTCTCCTCTGACCTCAGGCATCAACAAGGCATTTCCGCCCACAGAACTGCCGCTCACTGGATGTTTTTTCTTTTTTGGACCATTCTCTGTAAACCCTAGAGATGGTTGTGCGTGAAAATCCCAGTAGATCAGCAGTATCTGAAATACTCAGACCAGCCCTTCTGGCACCAACAATCATGCCACGTTCAAAGTCACTCAAATCATCTTTCTTCCCCATACTGATGCTCGGTTTGAACTGCAGGAGATTGTCTTGACCATGTCTACATGCCTAAATGCACTGAGTTGCCGCCATGTGATTGGCTGCTTGGAAATTAAGTGTTAACGAGCAGTTGGACAGGTGTACCTAATAAAGTGGCCGGTGAGTGTAGATGGCTTTCTTCAAGCCCCTCCTATTTTTCCAAAATGTGAACATTCTGGTCCTCAAAAGAATGTCCTTTGTCCATAACGTGTAGATGTACTGGAAGGTCTTGTCCAGAGGAGGGCGCTCTTCTGTGTTGGGTCATGCATCTCTGGAGAGGTTGTTTGGTTTCTCAAATTTAAAGATCAGAGCATTCCTCGCTGCATTAAACTGCAGACACCACTCCGCTCATCTTAGGTCTGGGGGTTTGTCTTTAGGATGCACTAGTCTCTGTTTAAGGGTTTTGTTTGGTTTTTGGTCCGCCCTACAAAGCTTCTAACTCAACGCTATTTCTGACATTTTGATTTGAAAAAAGCTTTCTAGATGGGAAGAGAAACGAGTTTTTTGGAATGACTGAGAATCTTCACCAGCTAATTGGTAAATTGTCCGGCTTTCCTGCTGAAATCAAGAAAAATAGAAAAAGTCCCCTGACTTTGGTTTCAGTTTTTGCTGTAGATAAAATTCGTGAATAAAATCGTTTTTTTTACATCCAAGTTCGAGACGATGAAAAATGTCCTCAAATGAAGGAAGTTGGAGTCGATCAGTCAGTCAATGAGGTTGGAGGCGACGTCTTTTGTTTCACCAAAGTCTATAAACATATATTAAGTTATTTCTTTTATCGTTTTCTTTAAGCCTAAAAGAATCTTGAAGACAAAAAAATGAGTGCATAGATATTTCTCAGAACATTTCTTCTAGAAACTGGTTAAAATAAACGCTGTTGAGCGTTGAGCTGGTCACAGGTCAGGAGTGTTCGGTCGTAAAGGTTGCAGCTTTAAAACGGTGTGAATGTCTGACCAGCTGCTTTCTTTGGCCTCCCCTCAGGGCCTGTCGGACTACACCAAGTGGCTCACCCACTACTCCACCAAGAAGCAGGACGGGGTCGCCAAACCGATCAGCTGCCGGTCGTACGCCAGGTAGGATGGCGGCATCTGAGCTGCCGCCTCCAGCCCAGCCTGTGAGCGGTCTGACGCACGGTTCTGATCTCCATCCACAGGGTTGGACTGATGGGAAATCCCTCAGACGGCTTCAACGGAAAGACCATCGCCATGACGATCTCCAACTTCTGGGCCGAGGTCACGCTGGTGGAGAGCCAGACTCTGGTAACGGTAACTCCTCCTGTCTGTAGAGCAGCTTCAGGCTGGAGAAGCTGAACAGAAACCGCCTGGATCTGGTTCCAGGTTTTGGTCGCTCACCCCCTGAACGACCCCACAGAGTTCGGCAGCCTGCAGGACCTGTTCTGCATCAGCAGGAGGGAGGGGTGAGTGCTGGGCCCGCTGAGACGCAGGGCGGCGTTGATCCGAGTCATGCCAACAGGTGTCATGAATCTGCAGGTATCTGGGAGGTCTGCGGCTGCTGCAGGCCACCTGTAAGAAGTTCTACCAGTTCTGCTCCAAACGAGGGTGAGATTGTTTCTCTATTGAAGATTCTCTTCCTTCCATCTGGGAGGTTTACCTGCACGGAGCGCCTCCGCCATCTTGGTTCCTCTATAGAGACTTTTATCCTTTAGCTCCTCGCCTCGTTTGTCATCATTTCTTCTCTTTCTCAGTTATTTGCACAGAGCGGATGTTCTTCATGGCTGCTCATGGTTTAGTTAGCCGTAGCTCTGATTCCAGCACTAAATGATCCGTTTGTCAAACCTCTGGGTTAATTCAGCTGCAGTTGTTGTGCTGCTGGACTCAGTCTCTCTCTGTTTCAGCATCGCTTTGACGAAGCAGAACTTCACCCTGAAGTACGACACCAACATCCCCCGTCAAGTGGTGAGCATCAGATTAGCTTCACTTCCAGCCTGTTTTCTGTCAGAATCGACCCAACTTGTCCTGTTTCCTTCCAGGGTTTAGCTGGAAGCAGGTAAATATTCCGGTTCTGTTGGTCGTATGAAACCATTTTTTCAGCAGAAGCATCATTTTCTCTGACCGCCCCCCCAGTGCCATCGTTTCAGCGACTCTGAAGTGTCTAATGAGGTTCTACAACATCACTGCTGCTGTAAGAGGATCCAGGATTGGTTGATCATCTGCGCTGCTTTGTAAACTCGTTAATCTCTGTCTGATGCTGTGTAGGATCTGCCTGAACCGATCCGAGCCAACTTCATCCTCAGCGTGGAGACGGACGAGCTCTTCATCACGGCCGGCCTGCAGGACAGAGTGGTGCAGGTCAGGAAACGGCTCACTGACGTGGCAGTTAGAGGATGTTTTGATGTTGGGCTGACTGCAGTGGCGCAGCTAGAAGGGGGGCCAGGGGTGGCCATGGCCTTACCCAACCATTGGCCACCCCTACCATGTTTTCCCTCTAATACAGACGGTGGCAGCAGAAATACGCTCCAGCCGAATGTTCTAACTTATTTAACATTTTAATTTTCTATATGTAAACAATTAGCTGACAACAAAAACACTGTGGTTAATTATGCAAATCAATATACTAACATTAAAGATAAATACAGAATTCATGCTTTTTCAGAACTAGATTTTGTCTTATATGGGGTAAAGAGAAAATTATGTCTCTGCAAGTAATCTAGGAATCTTCACTGAAATCAGAGATATAACTACTTTAATAATAAGTAATCCATTTAATGTAGATATTAGTACATGTAAATATTAATTTTATGCAGAATGATTATTAATAAAAGTAGGTAAGTAATGACAATGAATAAGGTGTTCGCCCCAGGACTAAAAAACTGAAAGAATTTTGTCCACTACACCTTTAATTTTGACAGCATGGATGTTTAAATATATGCATCTATTTGTTAGCAAAGGTTGTAGGCAGAGTGTGAAATACGGGGGGGTCCAGGGGGGCTCGACCCCCCTGATTAACCCATGAGACCCCCTGAAAGCCTCAAAAGCAAAATTTAAAGGGGGTCTTAAATTGTGTCAAAAATTTTTAAAATAAAATATTTATTCAAAAATATGTTCTGTTTTTTGCCAAGTGGAGCCAGTCAATCCTGCTCGTGTGCAAATTAGCCATGTGCTTTTCCGTGTTAATAACACTGCAACGCGGAACAGACTCCTTCGACCCATTTCCATTCATCAGAAACTGGATTAAAGCAGGACATGTGCGTGCATGAAAGAGTGAGACAGACAGAGAGAGAGACAGACAGACAGTCTTTGTGTGTGTGTGTTTTTGCTCCACCAGATTCACAGAAAGCTTCATCCACCAAGCTGTCAGGAAGCTGAGCCCCCCTCAAAAAAAAAATCACTCCAGACAAACTGTCTCCTGCACTACTATTAATACTATATTTATTTACTGTTCTTTTGCACTGTGACTGTTACAAATGCTATATCTTACATAATTGGTAATAATAATAATTTTTCTGCTGCCATTACCATCTGCCTTTTTGCACTAGCAAAAGTATTGCATATTTTATATTATTGTACATTTTATATTTTATTGTGAAACTGAATGTTTAAATTTTAGTATTAGAATCTGTTGTGCCTGTGCACTTTATCTGTTTCACTGTTGGTGAATGAGAAACGTCATCTAGAGTCCTTGTATGTCTGGTGAATCTGAAGAATTGACATTAAAGCTGACATTGACTTTGAAATGTTATAGGCCTACTGCATATTGAGAAAATTTAGATCGGTACTGTGCAACAATCGGGAGATGGGGACCCCCCAAATAGTGACAGGTATTTCGCACACTGGTTGTAGGAAATAATAGATTGTCTTTATTTAGAAAATATGGATTTTGTGATTGTTCATATTCCTGTTGGAACAGTGTAGATTGACCCTAAGGTTCTGGCACCGCTTTCGGCCCCCCCCTCAGTGTACGTTGGTTGTTGCCTGGCCACCCTAATAAAAATATTCTGGCTGCGCCTCTGGTTGACTGGAGGCAGATTTTGGGGAATTTAGCTGCAGCCTGATGAACTGATGGAGCGACTGTCCAAAGAAATAAGAAAATATTCTATCAGCAAGAACGTTTTTTATTGGTTCAGCATGAGCGTTTGAAGTGAAGAGAATGTGATTTTTATTAAATAATGTAAAACTCAATCTGAAAAATGAAATTGGAAATATTACATTAAATAAGAGGGAAAAAATATTTCAACTTACATATGATAGAAAAGTTAAAAATTCCCTTTTAAAAGTTTTTTTTTTAATTATTTCTGGATTTAGTTTTTATTACCATTTACCAAACTTACCAAAATTCACTCCATACAGAAACTAAACCCTCATCACGAAATTAATTTATCAACCTTTTTCACTTCAACTCGGGTGAAGAACAAATAAAGTTCAAAACAAATTATGAAAAAATAAAATATGTTTGTTTGGAAAGTTTTAATCCTGGACTATATTTTTTCAAACACTCACACTAAGCCTGGTTCTGCTGGAGGTTTCTTCCTGTTCAAAGGGAGTTTTTCCTCTCCACTGTCGCTACAAGCATGCTTAGTGTGAGGGATTGCTGAAGGGTCAATGAGTCGATGCAATCAACTGGTTTTCTTTAGATAGCAAACTTCAATCTGACTGGATGATCTGGTTGAACTAGAAAGTGTCTTGAGATGACATGTTGTGAATTTGTGCTATAGAAATAAACTGAATAGAATTGAAATGTCCATCTTTGCAACAATAATAGAGCAAAGATCCCTCCGTGACCTCAGACCTCACCAAACAGGAAGTCCAGTTTCCAGCTCCTTCCTGTTTATTGATCCCAGTTTAAGGTAAAGACGTGAGAGCAGCTGAACCTTTAACCTTCTCCAACCAAAGCAGCTCCATCTATGACTACATCTTTATTTTCTTTGTTTAGATAATAAAACACAAACGGTCTTAAAATGTCTGCCAGTGTTTTCCTTGGTAGCGGTTCAGGAAAGGCGTGTCCCTGTGTCCCTGCAGGTGTACGAAGGCCTGGTCTACATGGATTTCAGCAAGCAGCTGATGGATGAGCAGGGCTATGGTACTGATCAGCAGCTTTGCTCCATCTCTGGCTCCTCGTTTTCTCCTAGCTGGCGTGGATTGATCCTCTTCCTCTGTGTTTTGTTCTCTCTCAGGGAACTACGCTCCCATGGACATGAGTGACCTTCCCCAGTTCTGGCTGGCCTACCTGAGCGACCCCAGTGACTCTGGACGCATCCACAGCAACATCCGACAGCGCTGGCTCAGCGGTGCGTCCTCTGCTCTAACTAACGTCGGACCTTTAGGTCTCTGTGTTGCCGAGGAAGAGCGCTCAGCGTTTCAGGAATACTGTGAAGAAAAAACAGATTTCTGATATCTGTGGGGAAAAGGCCTGATTAAAAGTGATGTTTCAGCGTTTAAAGGAAGCGGATGTTCAGCAGAGATGGACCGATGCAGGTTTTCAAGGTCGATGTCGATCATTCACTGGAAAAAAATCGAAATCTAGATAAGTCATTTTTTCTTAAAAGAAGTGCATTTGTTCTTGGAGAGGTAAAAGAGACATTTTGCCAATGAAACAAAACAATTTACACTTAAAATAAGAAAACACAATTGATTTGTCTTATTTCAAGTGCATATTATCTAATTATTTTATTTTAAGAGTAAAAATACTCGTTCCATTGACAGATCAATTTGATCCTGCTCAAATTAAGGGTAAATAAATTTAAATTAAGAAATATTGACCTATTTCTAGATTGTTTTTGCAGTGTTCGATCCCTACACTGCAAAAAATGGAAATCTAGATGTGTCATTTTTGCTTACATTAAGTTCATTTTTTCTTGAATACAGGAGGTAATTGAGATACTGTGGCAATGGAACAAGACCATTTACATTTAAAATAAGAAAAAAAATAGCTTTGTCTTATTTCAAGTGCATATAATCGAATTATATGGTTTTAGTAGTACAAATACTAATTCCATTGGCAAATCATCTTATTTATTTACTCAAATTAAGGGCAAATACACTCAGTTTAAGAATGTTTTTTACTTAAGTGGTTTTTGCAGTGTGATAGCTGCTGCTAATATTTTTTCCCTGACTCTTTGATGTTGCTTTTTCTTTCTGCATTTACTTTATTAACCAAACAAAACATTAACAATGGCTGGAGAGAGCAGCGGAGCATTATAATCGACCAAAGCCTACGGGTATCGGCTGATACGGAACAAAAAGCTAATGTCGGTCGGCTGCTGTATCCTAAACCCTTAAAATAACGCCATACAAGTCGAGCATTCTTCCATTTCCTGGTTTCTGAGCTTGAGTTTTTTTCCACCTGCTGGATCAGCAGAAATAAATATCGCTGTATGCTGTCGCCCCCTGCTGGCCTTCAGCTCCTGCTTCACTGAAAATGATTTTATTTCCATCCAATATTTTTTTTTTCACACCAGAAATCAGACTTTTCCTTATTCTGATGGCGCTCATGAGTGATGTCATACGTCTGGTCATGTGCCGTCGTTATGCTAGATGCTGAAATTGCTCAGTTTTATAAAACTACTTTGTTGTTTACAGGGGAGCCAGTGGTTGTCGAGGCCATGAGGTCCTTTGCTGAACTCACAGACCAGGCAAGGTGGGTACGCTCACTGGAAAAAATCAAAATCTAGATAAGTAATTTTTTCTTCAAATAGGTGCATTTCTTCTTAAATTGAGGAGATTAAAGAGATGTTTTGCCAATGGAACAAGACTATTTAGATTTAAAATAAGAAAACACAATTGCATTGTCTTATTTCAAGTGCATATCATCTAATTATCTTATTTTAAGGGTAAAAATACTAATTCCATTGGCAAATTATCAAATTTACCTATTCAAATCGAGGGTAAATACACTTAATTTAAGACATTTTTACTTATTTCTAGATCATTTTTGCAGTGAGTATTTCCTAGATCTGGACTATTTAAGATAAAAAGCTTGGAAAATATGGTGCATTCAGGTTCTCAGCTCGGTGGTCATCATTTCCAGGCTCCAGCTTAGAAAATAACATGGATAAAATATATTCTGCTTCCCTGAACTAAACTAAAAGGTTAATATCTAGAAATGTGTCACAGACACAGAAGCTCTGAGATGTTTGGCAAACTATAGGCAGATGTAAAACTATAAACCAGAGTGTCCATGTTTTATATATTGAAACCAACGGTGAAAAAAAAGAGTTTTTTCTTAATTTCTTAAAATGATATATAAAATGAGAAGAGCTCCTGTTTGGATGGAAAACATTGCACTGCAAAAAATAGAAATCTAAGTCATTTTTTCTTAAAATAAGTGAATTCTTACTTGAATTATGGAAGCAAGTGAGACACTCTGACAATCAAACAATTTACATTTAAAAAAAGGAAACAACAATTGCTTTGTCTTATTTAAAGTGCATTATATCTAATTATACTATTTTAAAGGTAAAAATACTGATTCCATTGGAAAATCATTTTATTTACCTTATTTCTAAACAAGAAAAGTAGCAGAAAAAAGTTGCTAGATTTGGTGTTAGGTGCTTTTTTTGAAATAAAAGAGGGGTCTGAAAAGACACACTTAATATTATAAGCGTTCTGATGTCATTTTCTTAAACGGATTTTTATCAAATTCATTCAAAACCTTCTTTTGATCAAGAAATTAAAGTTAACATTTTAAACTCCATCCCTGAATTGAAGCAGAGCCTTTTTCTCCCCTCAGAGCAGCGATCGTAGAGAGGAACTGGTCCCGTCTGGCACAGCTGATGGACCAGAACTTTGAGCTCCGCAGGTACGTCTGTCAATCATCATCACAGCATTCATGATATTTGCTGATGGATTTAAGCCGGGAGCTTCTGACCAAATGTAAAGGAGGGATTCCAGCTGTGAGCATGTTGGTAAAGTCCAAACTAAACTCTGATCTCTGTTGGTTAGAAAGCTGCTGCTGCTCAAGCATTGCGCTGATGAAATATTTATTTAAGGTCTCTGGGATTTTATGATTAGACATGAAAGTCAGAAGAGGAGGAAAAGCAATGTCTGTTTTTTCATGATTTTCTGCAAATAGAAAACTAAAATATGTGCATTAATATGGCTTTTATTTTGTGTTTATTTATTTATAAGGAACAATGCATTTGCAGAGGATGCATACATATTTACAGAACTACTAAAACAGGATTTTACTCTGTTAGCTGAAATAAAAGGTGGAAATTATGAACTCTGACTCAACGTCCACCTTAAAAATCCTAAAAAAATTCATTTCTTTTAGCATTTTTTTTTATTTTCTAAAGCTTCTGGTGTTCTTTGGCTTTATTGAAGGGAAAATTAAATAAAATGAGCAGAATGTGCTTTTATTAATCTGTATTAATCCAGCACTGATGTGTTTATAATAATATTACTTCTGCCTCCATCAGGGTCAGATATGAAATAAGCAGAGGTGTTGAGTAATAAAGTACAAATACTTTGTTACTTAAGTATATATTTTGGTTGTCTATACTTTACTGGAGTAATTATTTTTTTACAAAACTTTTTTCTTCTACTCCTTATAAAATAGACTCTTTATTATTATTTTTTTTAATTTAAGCTCATTTTCATTATGGCCTTTTTGAATAAAAAAAGACATCAAAATAATTAGTTTCATCCACACAACTATTTTCTATGTGGTTGGACTCTTATTGATGCTTCACCATGAATCTGGTTCCCAGGTCGATCTACACTGATGACTGTCTGGGTCCCGGGAACCTCAGGATGGTTCAGCTGGCCAGACAGGTGGGTGTTCAAAGCTCCCCCAGCGTCCCAGTTCAGACCAGAGCTCCCAGCAGGTGTTTACTCACAGCCTCTCTGATGGTTCCCACAGTTTGGCTCAGCAGTGAAGTTACCTGGAAGCGGGGGGGCCGTGGTGGGGCTGTGTCTGGACCAGGCAAAGCTGGTAAGAAGTTCACAACACTGGAGGAGGTCCAGGTCCGTCCCACTGATCCCAGCTTCAGATCAGCAGAGAACCTTTCTGCCCTCCAGATCTATGAGCCTTTAAAAACAAAAACATGTGACAGACTGTGGCTGCCAGGAGGAGCAGGTTTGGTGTTCAACATTGTTGCGGATTCAGACAAGAAGGTTATAAATGCCACTAAGCTTTAGGGGCGTGAATACTATCAGGGCTCTGTCTGATTGCTGATTCCAGCAACGAAAACCTGCAAAATAAAGACAGTGATGGAAAGATGGAGCAGCTCCACCTAACTCTGACAGAGGAGAAACACATCTACTGCTAACTCTGCTGCAGCTAGCTGCCCCTAGAAGCTGGAAAATTAGCAAACTGAATATCGATAATAGAATCCAACTTTATTGATCTCACAGTGGAGAAATTCAACTATGACATCATCTTATGAACACCCTCAGGTGCACAAAGGAGGAAAAAGTGCATGAAGTACCGGTATATGCAGTGGATGGTAAAAAACAAAGGAGAGGTTTAAAGGAATAGTACACCCAAAACATGATTAGCCTTCATTTTCTACTCACCCCCATGCTGAACAACACTCTGGAGTACTTTTTTGATATCTCAAATGCATCTGGAGATCTGGGAGGCTTCTTGCTGTCTGCTGACATTCAAATAATGGAGGTCTATGGCGCCCGAGGCAGAAAGGTCCATAAAAGTCCACAAAAAACGTGTCAATATTCCTCCATACTGCTCATCCAATGTATTCCAAGTGTCCTGAGTGGGTAGCGTCCATAATTTACTCGAAACGAAGTCATTTAGAATGTTTTTAGAGCATAAACAGTAGTGTATAGGATTTCCTGAAAGCGCGCGCATGCGCGATCACGACGCTACGGAAGCCGGCAGACCAAACCAGCGCATTCAGCTCGGCAAAGAACTCATGCTCTTCCTCAACACTGAAGTCCTCAGACATTTTTCTTTCGTTGTTTCTTTCTTTGCACAGGTAAACATCACATTTCTTCTTCTACGCTTGCATTATTGGCAGAGCAGACGCTGAATGCGCACTTTCATCTGGCTTGGTCTGCCGGCTTCCGTAGCGTCGTGATCGCGCTTTCAGGAAATCCTATACACTACTGTTTATGCTCTAAAAACATTCTAAATGACTTCGTTTCGAGTAAATTATGGATGCTACCCACTCAGGACACTTGGAATACAGGTGCTGGTCATAAAATTAGAATATCATGAAAAAGTAGATTGATTTCAGTAATTCCATTTAAAAAGTGAAACTTGTATATTATATTCATACATTACATACAAACTCATATATTTCAGATGTTTATTTTGTTTAATTTTGATGATTACAAATGACAACAAATGAAAATCTCAAATTCATCATATCAGAAAATTAGAATATTACTGAAGACCAATAAAAACAAAGGATTTATAGAAATGTTGGCCAACTGAAAAGTATGAACATGAAAAGTATGAGCATGTACAGCACTCAGTATTTAGTTGGGCCTCCTTTGGCCTGTATTACTGCAGCAATGCGGCGTGGCATGGAGTCGATCAGTCTGTGGCACTGCTCAGGTGTTATGATAGCCCAGGTTGCTCTAATAGTGGCTTTTAGCTCTTCTGAATTGTTGGGTCTGGTGTATTGCATCTTCTTCTTCACAATACCCCATAGATTTTCTATGGGGTTAAGGTCAGGAGAGTTTGCTGGCCAATTAAGAACAGGGATACCATGGTCCTTCAACCAGGTACTGGTAGCTTTGGCACTGTGTGCAGGTGCCAAGTCCTGTTGGAAAATGAAATCTGCATCTCCAAAAAGTTGGTCAGCTGCAGGAAGCATGAAGTGCTCTAAAACTTCCTGGTATGTGGCTGCGTTGACCCTGGACCTCAGAAAACACAATGGACCAACACCAGCAGATGACATGGCACCCCAAACCATCACTGACTGTGGAAACTTTACACTGGACTTCAAGCAACGTGGATGAAGTGCCTCTCTTCTTTTCCTCCAGACTCTGGGACCTTGATTTCCAAAGGAAATGCAAAATTTACTTTCATCAGAGAACATGACTTTGGACCACTCACCAGCAGTCCAGTCCTGTTTCTCTTTAGCCCAGGCAAGACGCTTCTGACGCTGTCTGTGGTTCAAGAGTGGCTTGACACAAGGAATGCGACAGCAGAAACCCATGTCTTTCATACGTCTGTGTGTGGTGGTTCTTGAAGCACTCACTCCAGCTGCAGTCCACTCTTTGTGAATCTCCCCCACATTTTTGAATGGGTTTTGTTTCACAATCCTCTCCAGGGTGCGGTTATCTCTCTTGCTTGTACACTTTTTTCGACCACATCTTTTCCTTCCCTTCGCCTCTCTATTAATGTGCTTGGACAATGAGCTCTGTGAACAGCCAGCCTCTTTAGCGATGACCTTTTGTGTCTTGCCCTCCTTGTGCAAGGTGTCGATGGTCGTCTTTTGGACAACTGTCAAGTCAGCAGTCTTCCCCATGATTGTGTAGCCTATAGAACTAGACTGAAAGACCATTTAAAGGCTTTTGCAGGTGGTTTGAGTTAATTAGCTGATTAGAGTGTGGCACCAGGGGCCATCAATTTTGAACCTTTTCACAATATTCTAATTTTCTGATATGATGAATTTGAGATTTTCATTTGTTGTCATTTGTAATCATCAAAATTAAACAAAATAAACATCTGAAATATATGAGTTTGTATGTAATGTATGAATATAATATACAAGTTTCACTTTTTAAATGGAATTACTGAAATCAATCTACTTTTTCATGATATTCTAATTTTATGACCAGCACCTGTACATTGGACGAGCAGTATGGGGGAATATTGACACGTTTTTTGTGGACTTTTATGGACCTTTCTGCCTCGGGCGCCATAGACCTCCATTATTTGAATGTCAGCAGACAGCAAGAAGCCTCCCAGATCTCCAGATGCATTTGAGATATCAAAAAAGTACTCCAGAGTGTTGTTCAGCATGGGGGTGAGTAGAAAATGAAGGCTAATCATGTTTTGGGTGTACTATTCCTTTAAGGTGACTTATATACAGGGGCGGATTTAGGAAATTTGGGGCCCTAGGCAAAGACAGGCAGGGGGCCCTCTGAATGGAGAAGACAACACATAAAACAGCCCCATTCTACAGATAGAGAAATGTTAATAGAATAAACATCCATTATCTGTTCTAGGTTGTGTCCCTCTCTTCTTGTCCCTTTTCTTCTTGTTTTCCTCTCTATGTTTTGTACTCAGCTGACTTTTCATGCTGTCTCTAAAGGAATGAAAGATTTTTTCCAAGCACTAAGCTCACTTAGCTGATTGCTCCTTCCTGTGTTTCCAAAAAAGCCAAAGTAAATAACCCAGTCCTTCTTTTCACTGTAGACAAGCCATGATCTGCTTATCTGTTCTCCATTTTTCATTTGGATGAAATAATAGCTGCATGAATCATGACAGCAGACAAGATAGAGGAGGGCAGGAGGCGGGGTTACCAATCTACTCGCTCTGGAGAGCAGAGTTCGCTGCTTTTAGATGTTGTCTCCAAAGTCTCCAGTAGCAGAAAAAAGTCGCTAGATTTGGCGCTAGGAGCTTTTTAGAAATCAAAGTGCTAGAGGGGTCTGAAAAGACGGGGCCTGAGACACACTTAATATTGTAAATGTTCTGATGGCATTTTCTTAAAAGGATTTTTATCAAAAACATAATTAATGTGCAAAAATAAGCAATAGTTGTATTAACCATACATGTAAACAGTTTTATGGGGCCCCCAGGAACTTGGGACCCTAGGCAACTGCCTAGTAGTGCCTAATGGTAAATCCCCCCTGCTTACATATAAAGTGTCTTATGTACAGTAAAGTGCTGTTTCTGGTTTGTTAAACAGATAAATAGTCTAAGCTATTGCAGTGTTATTACACCAGGTTTGTTAGGTTTCTGTTTTCTGTCATGTTTTTCTTTTCAGTATCCAGTTTTGCTTTTCTCCTTGTTTCCTAGTTTTTATGGTTTAATTCTTAGTTTATTGTGTTCTTTGGTTTTTTTCTCAGTTGCTGTCCTAGTCTTGGTTCTGTTTTCTTTTTAGTGTTCAGTTTTTGCTTTGCTCCTTGGTTTCTAGTGTTAGTGGTTTAATTATTATTTTGTTGTGTTCTCTAGTTATTTCCAGTCTTCCAGGTTTTTCATTTGTTGCCCTCTGCTCTCCCCTTGTGTTCTCCTTTTTCCTTAGCTGCTTTTTTCTCTGTCCTCAACTGTTCCCAATCTTCTCATTAGCCCTCTCAGTCTCCTTTAAAAGCCCTCTCTCTTCAGTTCTTCTTTGCTGGGTCCTTGTCTAACTTCTTCAGTCTCCCTCCACTCCGTCTCTCTGAGCCTTCCTCGTTGTGTTGCGATTCCCCTGACGTCTCCATGGTTTCTGGTTCATTTTTACTTATTTTTCATGTTTTGAATTTTGGTATTTTTGGACTCCTGGTTTCTTGCTTTTTTTTTTTGGATTCTGGTTTCTTTTTTTTGGATTCTGGGTTCTTGGTTGCCTGTTCGTTCGGACTTAGTTTTTTAGTTACTCATCATTAAATCTACTTACAATTCACCTCTGCCTTCCTGCCTCTGCTTTGGGTCAACGATCCACAAACAAATCCTGACAAGGTTATAGTGCAGAGGCATTGTGAAGTCTGATGGCAGCAGGGATGAATGACCTGTGGTTGCGCTCCTTTACACATTCTAAGCATTTATTTATTTATTTACAATGGAGACAATTCAAAGGGTCTAAATTCTGTCAAACTGAATCTTGTGGGAAACAAACCCAGAATATTTGACACAGATTGTAATTCTAGCAAAAAATCAGAAGAACTTTTTTAATTTAAGGAACAATTTTATGAAAATATATTCGAAAACAATCCTCCTTTCTCTCAATATTCTGTCTTTTATCAACTGGAAATAATTTAGGCTTCACTGACCATAAACAGAAGGGGGTTTGGTCTGATTTTATCTGAGGAGCCAAATAAAAGGTCATGTTTCTTTTTATAACCACATGTTTACATATCTGATAACAATCATTTTGACATTCAAATGTCCTCAGGATCTGATCCCTAACAGTCATTAATTCTTCATTTCTTCCTTACATCATAGAGAAGCTGTGTTTAATGACTGGTTCGGTTCTGATGCAGTGCGCATTTTGTCCGCCAGGTGGAGATGCGGCAGGCTTTCCAGGAGGCAGGCTGCGTCTTCTGTGTCATCGCCCCCTACGACCCGTCTGAGGCCCTCAGCAGCCACCCACCGCTGCTCAGTGAGGCCCCCCGGGGCCAAACCCCGGCCACCGATAGGAAGTGACGCTGTGATTGGTGTGAAAAGGACTCAGCAGATCCAGATCCGCTGAGTCCTGCTGAATGAGGAACATCAGTTAGAGGACATTCTTTAAACTGGACCGGATCAAATTATTGTGAAAAATGTAAAATGAGTCATTATTTTGTATAGGCGGTATTTCTTCCCAGATGTTTGTTTAATTTTATATCCAAATAAAGCCGATTTCAGCAGCTTTTTCCTTCGGTTCTCGGTGCGGCTCTGTGGGTCCGCTCCTTTTAAAGGCTCGCCTGTCGTTTCCTCTCCTCCTGTGGGCGGAGAAGCAGCCGCTCTCCGCTCCCTCACTGCTCCGCGCTGCTGCTCGGCTCCTGCGGACCCTCCCGGGGGGCTCATGGACTAACCGGGGCCCTGACCCGCCCGCTCTAACGGACTCTGTCTCGGACCGGACCATGGCGGCCAAGGAGGACCTGTACAGCAAGATTCTCCCCCGGAGGCTCCGGCAAAGCCGGCGGGGTTCGGTGAAATCCAGCTCCAACCTGGACGTGCTGTTATCCATGGGCTTCTCCAGGCACAGAGCGTGAGTATCCGGGCCCGAACGAGCCCTGCCGGTGTGGATGTGGGTCAGAAGCGGGGGTCTGGTTCCCGTTACCCGGTCCGCTGCTTCTCCTTTAGGAGGGCAGAATGAGGCGGAACCGTTAGATGAGTTATTAGGAGACGATCTGAGTTCAACATATTCATCTTTTTTTCTCTCTCCCGGTTCAGCTGGTAGTTCCTGTCATAGTTTGGTCAGGAGACATGATGGAGTCATGGGCCCTGCAGGGACGGGGCCCCTGGGGCCCAATCTAGAAACCAATCATTTCAAACATCTGACCCTCATTAGAGGATCAGCATCAACAGGAGCTGTTTTTATACCTAAACCCTCTTAAAGTAAAGGATTTAGTTCAGTCTGGGGGGCCACGCTGCCTCCAATCACCATCAAATCATAACTTCATTTAAAGCTAAACTTCTAACCAATAAATTATGAAGATTGATCTCGTGCTCTGTAAGCATCATGGATCTGATGTTCCCTTCTATTGATCTAGTTTAAATTGCTGCTGAAGTGTTTGGGTATCTTAAGGTCTCCTCAAACGTTACTTTCCTCTGTAAAACACTTAGACTTTATTGTCATTTTTTTTACACACCATATATACTAAAAGAAATGTCGTTCAGTACAGCTCTCAAGACATTTTCACTTTCTCAAAAATGGAAGAAAAAAAAACCTCCCTGGTAGATGTTCTCCTGTCGGTTCCTTCCCAGTGGGACCAACCGGCCCCTCCTTGGTGAATGATTCCGATCTAAAGGACAAACTGAAGATGGAGGTTGTGTCAACGGTTAATCGACGTTGGTTTTAGAAGTCGGGTTTATGATTGTCGCCCTGCAGGGTTCGGCTTCACCTTAACCCTAACCTACAGGAATAGGTTCAGTTTATTAATGTCTGTAGTTCTGCTTTAACCGACCCAAATCTAGATGACCTAGAAATGTAGACGGAGAAGAAAGCAGCGGGAGCTTAAAGCGACATTTTCTCTTAAAAAAAAAAGTCTGGTATTTCTCATGGGAAAAATCTAACTTCACAGCTTGTTTTCTTCCACACACATTTCTATATTTTATCAACGTGTGAAATACTTGAACCCCAGTCGGCCTCGGCAGACGGCCGCTCACACTGAGCCTGGTTCTGCTGGAGGTTTCTTCCTGTTAAAAGGGAGTTTTTCCTCTCCACTGTCGCTTCAAGCATGCTATGTGTGAGGGATTGCTGAAGAGTCAATGAGTCGATGCAGTCAGCTGGTTTTCCTTAGATAGAAAACTTTGAATCAATCAGACTGGATGATCTGGTGAACTGGAAAGTGCCTTGAGATGACATGATGTGAATTGGAGCTATAGAAATAAACTAAATTTTATTAACACATTTTTTAGCTCATATTATTGATCTCCCCTGACACTAATCAGACAGGAAGTAGGCCTACATGTAGAGTGAAAGGGTCAGGTGTCAGGACAACCAGCGGAGGTCTAATTTCTGATCTGATTAAGCTGGAGCAAAGTTCAGTTACTCTAGAGGGATTTTCTGATCATCCGGTCCGTCTTTTTTGTTCAAAGATATGAACGAGTAGAAAGACGGGAATAAATATCCTGGAGCTTAGGAGATTTCTCTAACATGCTGGTGAAGATTCTCAGTCATCCAGGTCATAGTCATTGCAAAAAAAGTAAAAAAAACAAAATGTGTTTCCAAGTTTGAAGATGTTTTGCTTCCCATCCAGGAAGATTTTTTAATTCAAAATGTCAGAAATAGGGTTGCTTTATAAAGTAGCCCAACTAAGCCTTGTTTTTGCTTTTTGCATGTTTTCTAAGTCAAAACAAGGCAATTCTGCCGCTAATTCTGACATTTGAATTGAAAAATCTTCCTGGATGGGAAGAGAAACGCCTTCAAACTTGGTAACAAAGTGTCTTTTTTTAAACTCTTTTAGAGTTTCTCTATAATGGCTGAAAAGACGAGTCAGAAACTAGTGCTGACTGGAACTACTGGCTGATGTTCTGCTGTGTTTCCTGCATGTCTTTTACTGTGAACCAGAATTTTTCTGTCTTTAACAGAAACCTCCAGGTCTGACTGAAATCTCCCAAAGCAGAGAAACAGTTTCTGGGTTTAATGAAACATCCTCAGCTTTTCAGTCACAATCTCAAATGGTTTGTTTGCACATCGCTGCAAAAACACGGCGGTGGCAGCATTAAGCTGTGGGGTTTATTTCTTTGAGTGAAAATGTAAATCATGCGGAGATAAATTCATACAGATGCCCCCTGAAAGGTGGAGACGATGAAACTAAAGAAGCAGGAGGTCATTTATTTCTCTGGTTTTTAGGAGGTTTTAAAACGAGTTCTTGAAGCGAGCATCGAGGCGTCCGCCTCACCGAGCTGCTGCCTTCAAGAGGAAACATCAGGTCAAGGTTTCTCAGCAGACATGACTGGTTAATAGAGAGCGACTTCATGCCATGCTGAGCTCACATGATGTTCGTCATGGAAAAACAGCTTCTTAAAGCAGATTAAAGGCCGTTTTGAATATTCGAATGTATTACTGTAACGTCTGTAGCTCAACGCATCAGGGCTGAAGTCGTTCTCTGTCTGATGGATGAGAGAAAACGAGGCAGTCTGGTCTTTGGGATGCCATTTTCACCGTCCCCTATAGAGCAGCAGAAGTTCTGTTTTCAGTGGTTTGTTCCAGTTTGTCACCTCAGCACGAGGCAACGCAGCCCACGCATTTCCACATGTAAACTGGCTCTGAAAGCTCGCCTAAAATATCAGATCTACACAAAAACACAGACGGCGGCTAAAGATGACTTTAAAGAGATGGATTGATGTTCTGATTCAGAGAAGTTTGGCCTGAGAGAGGATGGTTCTGGTTCTAGGATGTTCTAATCTTAGAATTACCTGGAAAGTCAGATTTAAAGGAAAAGTCCGGTTATATTCAGAATACAAACCTCTAAAAGTAATTTAAATATGAAATTATTATATCATGTTCAATAAATTATGTTTTTAATTAATAGTAATTTTCATGTGAATGTGCTTTACTGGAGGCATCCATGTTTGTCAAAGAACACTACTGCCACCTACTGGTTTGTGACGTCACGGTGCGGTATCGGCTGTTGATCAAGTCCCAGTGCTGTATCTGGTGCTTGTCACAACGCGCTATTATCCAAGTCATCTTGAAAACATTCTTCTTCCAAATGTTGGCTACATATTAACATAGTAACTTTTTGCTGTGATGCAACAGTCAGATGCACTTAATTTGTTTTTATATAACCCTTATTGGCCAAGAAACACAAAGTTACATAGGTAATATACAGTAAACAACAACAAAGATATTTTTTAAGCCTCAATTAATATTAGTTTAGAAGTAAAAACCTATTTTATTATTAAAGGAAAAGTCGCTCATATTCAGAATTCAAACTTCTGAAAGTTCTTTAAATGTGAAATGATTCCATCCTGTTCAATAAATGATCAGTGTTTTTAATTCAGAGTAATTTTCATGTGAATGTGCTTTACTGGAGGCATCCATGTTTGTCAAAGAACACCACTGCCACCTACTGGTTAGTGACGTCACGGTGCGGTATCGGCTGTTGATCAAGTCCCAGTGCTGTATCTGGTGTTTGTCACAACGCGCTATTATCCAAGTAATCTTGAAAACATTCTTCTTCCAAATGTTAGCTACATATTACGGGTTTTTTCTCTGGCCAGAAGTTCGATGGCAAATCCTCCCTCTTCAAGTTGGCGATCCAACGACCAACCCGTCCGTGGAGGATCAGGAATCAGAAAGGTGGAATAACTCTTTTATTTTCACTTTTACCCGATGTATTCCAGCATCCAGCTGCTATGCACGTGGGCATTGTCAGTTTCACTATAGCTCTGGTGAATTTCAATGGTGAAGTCCTCTGGAAATCTTCAATAATTGTTGTTGATTGCAGATGTGTCTAGTAGTTCCCATTGATTTAGCTTGTAAAGCGAGGAGAATGGCGCTAGGCTTACCGCACCGTGATGTCACTGCTGGAAGATGGCAGGAGGGAGGGGTTACTATATTTGGGCAAAAATGGCCGCTCCCAGACTCAATGATCACAACGAATATTATTTTTAAAAATTTTTTACTGACCATGACCTGTTTTCAGTCCGCCTGTCTGTGGCTGAGCTTTTCCTTTAGCCTCCTGCTAAATAAAGCAGAGGAGACGTCACACTGTGTGACTGTGTCACAACCCGATCCGTCGCAGAAGTACGATACGTCCTGCACATGCGCAAACCGAACAACTTCCATGTAGGCGATACTTCGTTTTTCTTACTTTTTTACTCTTTTGTATTTTTCAGGTGGGGGGTTGCTTTAAATATTTTTGTATGTGCGTAAATATTGCATATTCTAAAAAAATAAAAAATGCAATACATAAAAAACACTTACACTTTGAACGTTACTGTTACTGTTCTGAGCATGCCCTATGATGACGTAACGCAATACAATGGAGAGAATGTAAAATGGATCCATTTCTTCCAGAAAAGTCTTCAATATTTTCTATACATTGTAGGTTATTATTCTTTAATGTTTTAAGTATATAAATAAGTAATTTCAGTACCGTTATCATACATTTCAGTGACGTGAATCTTATTGTGTTCGCGCATAAGCAGGACAGATCGTGCTTCCGGGACGGATCGGGTAGTGACAGATTGCGACAGAGCAGTGGCTGCAAAAAACGGACCCAGCGATTAGAATCTTGTGATAGCGACTAGAGCAGCTAGCGTAACCAAAGGAGGCAAAGCTACGACTTTTTTATACCAGCGATTAATACAACATATATAAAACAAGAAAGGAAAACTAGGGTGAACATTGATCGTTGATCAAGCTTTTTAGCGTTGATGTTGACGTAAAGAAGGAAAGTGGCTTAGAAACTGTTGTTTTTTGCATGACCGGGCAGCACCAGTGCGCCACCTACGGGCCTGGAGGAGTTAAACCTCTTTCTTTACCTTGGAGGCTTTCCAACAGTTTTAAATGCAAATTTCTTTGGATCATGACCA